ATTGGAGTTTGGCAGTAATTCCTGTTCTGCATCCAAATCTTCATAGGTATTTCTAGGCTTTTGAGGAAAAACTGTTGAAGAATATGTGAACAGAAAAATCCCTAACTTTTGGGGGAAAACCCCAAAAAAACGAGTATAACTTCAGTTAAACAACCTTGCATAGACTGGTGATTACTTGGCCTTTCATGCAATCCATTTCTGGCAGTCACTGTGACTTACCAATGAAAAAGGAAGTAACTTCTGTGAAGTCTGCTAATCACCTGGAAAAAAAGTGAAAAAGCAAGTGCTATAAATGTATAAAGCATACGTATTGTGATATAAGAAAATTTAAATGGAGGGAGGATTCACTCTCATAGAAATTGTGGGAAGGCAGTGAATATCACCAATAAAGAGGGGGAAAGGTTCTTTCTCCCCCCACCCCCAGTCAGAAGCTTATTGCTGCTTCTCATCTATCCATAGATTTTCTCACTATCCTCTTATGAGACATTGGTATGTGTTGTAGGCTTGAAAGGGAAAGCAAGTGGAATAAATAGGAAAGCAAAGAGAGGAATATAAAACTCTTTTTGGGGGCAGGAGATTGACATTCTTTGTCGCTTAAGAAGTATGGGCGAAGAGAGATGGGCAGCCTTTTCCAGCACAATATTTAATGGTATTTATTTTCTGGATTAAGGTACAATTAAACCAGAGGAATCTAAGTTTTCTATTTTAAAAAAAAAACAAAACCTCACATCATCATAATTTTCACTTCAAACCAAAGTCCCTGTATTTATGAAAAGCTCAAGTTGTAATTATGCTTTGCTCAAGGAAAGACACCTGACAGACTTTAGTTCTGCTTTCTGTCACTGCATAATCCAGTTTCCTTGAAACTCAGACTTGTGAAAAGGGTCCAATTACATTTTCGCAAGTTATGTACTCTTTGAATGGCCTCCTAGATTTGTTGGCATTTCCTCTGTAGCTCACCAGCTGATGCCATCTATGATATCAAATTCTATGCATTCTATCAGAAGATATTTCAACATTAAACCATTAAAGTGATAAAATGACAAGGACAGCATTCTGCAGCTTCAGTTTCCCTTGAAATTGATTACTTATTTGTATTGTGCATAAGTAGTAAATTTCAATAACTATCTCTTCTAGAGCAAATGTTTTAAAAAACCTTTAAAGAAGCTAGCATAAAGCATAATTAGTGTAATGTACGGCTGCTCCTGTAAAGGGTTGCTCTTACAGCTCAGATGTTCATCTCCTTTTGAAAAATTTGTAAACTAAATTTGAGGATTCTGAATACCTAAATCAAACTCTTCTGTTCTATTTCTTTGATTTGTTTGCAAAATTTCACAGCTGCAAGAGCTTATATAACATTGAGCAAAGAATTCATCAAACTGTTAACATAGTAGTGTTCTATAAGACACTTAATTAGAAGCCCCCTTTTTGTTTATTAGACATAATTTACCATGAGGGTCATGCAGAAATTTAGCAGAATCTGCAGCTTTGGCAGTATATTTCTGCCTTAGCTAGCAAGAGTGCAAGAATAGATATAATACATATATAATATACTAAATCCATCCTGCTTCATTAGGCTCAACATGGATAATAACTATGGACAGTAATATCACTGCTACCTAGCTATAATTGATAAGAAGCTGGACCTTTGCTGTGTAATGATAGAAATACTTTTCTAGATTCGAACTGACTCATTTCTCCTCTTCCTCCTCCTCTGGAATCTTTCCAAGAAAGTATCCACATTTAAATACGTGGTTGATTCATCTTTATTTTTATAAAAATGTACTGGCACGGATAGCACTAATTGAATTATTTTATTTTTATTTATAGTATTTATATAGTTGCCCATCTCACATAAAAATGACTCTGGGTGATGTGCAACAATTAAAAAGAATAAATACATAAAAATTAATCAGAGACATGAATACATCAGAGTCTAATCCTTTAAGGATTTGAGATTGTGGTTTATGGAGTTCTGGTTTTTCCTCTCTCTAGTTTCCTCCTCCTCCTCTTCCTCTTCCTCCTCCTCCTGCTGATTATTGTTGTTGTTGTTGTTGTTGGTCACAGAATCAGCCAGTTGTTCAGACTGGATTTGGCATTTTTATCCACTTATTGAGTCCTTCCCAAGGACCTGG